CGGGGGGGGGGGTGGATACGTGTGTGACTTTCACGCGTCGATACACTTTCATCACAAAGTATTGCTGTACTGACCGCACCTTCGAACACTTGTCGCGCCCTCGCCAGCATCGCTGCCTGTTCCCCGGACCTCCCCACGGAAACCCTCCTTATCAAATCATCGTGCTGCTCTGCCGTCCCTACACGTTGCCGTAGACGTAGTACACGCGAAAATCGATCGGTGAAGGCGTCATCGCAGGGGATAAACGTCCCCAGTCCAGGTTCTCGCACGCGGGGCGGACGAAGGATGTGTGGATCTTTGAGCGGAAGAGGTTGGGTTAGCTAGAGTCATGAATAAAAGTACGCGCGGCGTGTCTTGAGCGTGTGCTCTGTACGAGTATGTTGTACCAACGTCGCTCGCCGTTTTCACCTACCCCCCTCACGTTTGGTCTGCAATCAGGACTATGTAGGAGACAATATCGGCCAACTTCATCGGTAGTTTCATATGTCTCCTTCGGCCATCCGAATATAGCGTGCTACCCCGTCCAGGTAACGTGAAACCCAAGAAGAGGCTCCATAACGTCGCGATATCATGCGGGTCGAGGATAAACTCCCGAATTACCACGTCATCAGCTTGCTTGTATCTTGTGACAGACAACGGCCATGCACGGTCCATGTGCGCACGCACATCTTACCACGTGTCCGCTCGGGGTAACATCTGGACCAACACAATTCCGATCAGGTATAACCAGGTGAAACTAGGAGCCATCTAGAACTCTAATTTTTGAAGTACCCCGGAGTAGAAAGGAAGCGCGCGGGTTAGGATAAGGAATACCATGCACTGTACCTTCCCACTTCTCGGATTGGAAGATGGCCGCCGCCACCTCTGCCACCGACAGCAGCCCGCCGTCTAACCGGCGCCCCACACCTTGCGAGGAGAGCACAAGGCCATGTCCGGCCGCAGGGGTTAGCCCCCGGGATGCTCGCGAAGAGAAAGGCGAAGGCCGTCCGCTGCTTTCCAGAGGATCTGTGCGGTGGATGACGCCCATGCGCGACAAGGGGACCGGCGGCGGGAGAGGCATGAAGCTATTGTGTTCTTCGAACGGCGTCAAAAGAAGCTAAACGTTGTCGGTGCGTCGGCATGTGCTGTTCGTGCGCTGGGTGGTTGCGTCTCCAGACAGCATGTAGAGAGTTTATCCCTTTTACAGAAGGACTGAGGCCGGTATCTAGCGTGGCAACACACTTGCCGTGTGCTCACCTTCTCCTGTCGTATCGACGAACATAGAGTGATACGCGTAGGCGAAATCCGCTAGGCTTAGGGTATCCCCGGGGGCTAGGTCCGCCCCGTCACACCACGCTCGGAGCTCGCGGCGTTGCACGTCATCCCTGCCGAGCTCCTTGAAACACCTCTCGAGATCCCTGACTTCTACCGTAGCACCATCGCCATCGCTGCCGTCATCTTCCACGGCCCACTCGTTGAAAACGCGCTCCAAGCGGCGCATTTGCTTCTCCCCTAGCCTCTTCGCCCACCTCCGCAGCTCGGCTTCTTCTCCTATTCCTAACCCGCCGCCCTGTCTCTGGCTCCGCCTCCGGCTGCTGCTTTTTTCGGGAGAGCGGTACCCGAGCTTTCTAGACGTCAGGCGTTCGCCACTAGTGCGGGTTCCGGCACGCGAGGAGCTTCGGGCTGTTCGCCGCCGTCCCCTTTCTTTTGTCCGGTACGACGAAGAGGAACCAGAGTCGTCGTCACCGTTTCGTTCCGGATCGCCGTTGCTATCGCTTTCGTCCGTGCTGCCCCCACGGTAGAAGACCCATGCGTAGGCCTGCACGAATGCGGGGAAGTCCAAGCGGTGGTGGCCTCCCGTTCCACCGCTCCTGCCGGCGCCGTCCGTCGCCCGGAGGAATTCGCGCACCTTTATCGGAGCCAGCGGGGAACATGTGCGTAACGACGATGACAACATAGGGGTAGGGCAGCTGTATCAAGAGCTCACTGCCCGTGCTTTATACGTTCTACTCTCAAGCTACCCAACAATATAGGGAGGGGTAGGGCAGATTTATCAAGAGGTCATTGCCCGTGCTTTGTACGTTCTACTTTCAAGCTACCCTATCTGTTAAACCTGTATCTGACGTTCGCACTTCTGCAAAAGTGGTTGCCCACATCTCCTTCCAAAGATCGTCGCCCAAAGACGTGCGAGCACCGGTGCCGAGCTCAGGGCTGTGCTGTACACTTTCCCCCCCGCAAACACAAACCTCGTTCTCTGTAGCTTTGCCACCAAGGCCTCGAAACGCCCTCACAGTATCGGCGGTCGTGAGTTCCCCGTCTCTGGAAAAGTCGGCCTTGTTGAATTCGCGCCTGAATCGCGCGGACTCCGACCTCCCCAACACCATATCCGTCTTGAGTACCTGGGCCGGACCGGGAGAAAGTGGGAGGGGGTGCGTCATGCACACGTCTGTGGCCACTCAATGGGACTTATTGGCGATGGAATTTTCTACTCTTCCAAGGCGGTGCAGGGAGGGAAGTGAAGGGGAGGAATCCTCTGATGTCTTTACTGGACCCGACATCGCTTGTTCTAAGAGGGAGGAGCGGGGCGTGACAGTAGTGGGGTCTAGTTGGCATGTCATGGCCCTCAGCTTAGAACAATCAGGTGGATATTCTTTGAGCAACTTGCAGTCTCGCTGTCGGAACATAAGGTGCAACAACGAGGATGATGACATATATTTTGCGGGGTACTGACGGGGAAGCACAATGCTACAAAAGTAGCTCATCCGTTAGTTATGCAGCGCTGGGGCCAATACTGGTACGCCGGAGTCCGTTCATCTTGTGGAGAGGAGAAATGCCGTACCTCGTCTTTTTCCCTTTCGAGCATCGACGAGGATACTTTCTTCCGTTCAACGCCGGCCCTTCTCGCCAACTCGTTGGACATGCGTTCCACGGCACGCCACACGCCGCTGCCGGCCTCATCCGGACGCGAATCTCTCCTACCGCGGGAAGCGCTGCGACGGTCTCTACTCCGCCCTCTAGGAGCCGCTGCCGCGGCTCTCACGCACGACTCCGGAACGTCCTCTTCTGTCTGACCATCCGAGTACTTAATCGTAAACGTTTCGTCGCCGTGACAGGCCAGCACTTCACCCTCCGCCTAGGTTGGGAGGCCACGGGGGAAACTGCGAGATGTAGGTAGGGTATACAGTACTACCATGCTTCCAAGACTTTCCTGTTGTTAACCCCACCAATGGGCGTGTGCGGGCATGCCGAAGCAACATACGATGCCGGTGAAAAATAAAAAGCGAAATGTAGATACATGACACAGCACCGAATAGGAATTTGAGAATCAAATGTTCCATGAGTCGCACCCCCTACCGACATGGTGCAACACCGGGGAAATTCCTAAAATATATTTTAAAAAAGCTTGCAGGCACGATGCCACAACAACCAGGATGAAGCAAACGGTACGTCTACTCTGATGTTTTGCAAAAGAAGGCCATGAAGGGTGGACTCACCCAGTTCTGCGTGCGCTTCGGCCGCGAGTACGGGCTTGCCCTACGCCAACACGCCTCCACCCAGCTTCCCGGCAGTAGTCCGCCCCGCTCGTCGGAGCTAGACGCTGCTGGTTTACCCCCTCTATCGCGACTCCGGCTCCTACCCCGCCCCGGTCCTTCCCTCCCCCGTATATTGACGGTGGAAAGTCCTTGTGATGAGGATCTTCGTCGTCGAGAATTTTTCCTTCCAGCCACATTCCGCGAGGACTCCCTGTCGCTACTGCTGCTGCTGGATCCAGATCGTCGAGTGGTTTCCCTACCACCGCCGAAGCGTTGCCTAGTAGCACCGAGGTCGCCACCTCGTGAAACGCTTCGGCTCCGGCTACGAGTTCGGCGGGTGTTGTCGCTACTCTCGTTTCCCTTTCGCCTTTCCCGTGATGTACGGCGGCGGTTATTTCCTTGTTCATCGCCTTCCGAAAACAGGTCTTCCATGTCGTCGGACGACCTTCGCCGTTGTTGCACTCCCTCGCCGCTCCTGCTCCTGGTTGTGGTGTTGCTTCTTCGCTTTTCCCGTACGTGCGTTGTGGCTACTCGAGCCTCCCTCTCACCGTCGTCGTAGTCGATGTCACAGCTCCCGTCGCGATGGACACGAGATATCCTGCCGGGGTAATACCTACCGCTGCGCCGGTAGTTGGCTTCAACTCGATCCCCCTCCTGCAGAGTGCCGCCGACATCGCCTGGATCAATACTTCCCGTCCGCTCGCCCTTGCCGCTCTCGAGCACTCTCACGAGTGACGGGTCGACCAAGCGCTCCTTCTCACCGTCGTCGTAGTCGATGTCACAGCTCCCGTCGCGATGGACACGTGATATCCGGCCGGGGTAGTACCGGCTGCGACCCTTGTACTTGGCCTCCACCTTCATGCCCTCCTCCAAGCGGTCTCCACTTCCCGTCCGCTCGCCGCCCTTGCCGCTCTCGAGCACTCTCACGAGTGACGGGTCGACCAAGCGCTCCTTCTCACCGTCGTCGTAGTCGATGTCACAGCTCCCGTCGCGATGGACACGTGATATCCGGCCGGGGTAGTACCGGCTGCGACCCTTGTACTTGGCCTCCACCTTCATGCCCTCCTCCAAGCGGTCTCCACTTCCCGTCCGCTCGCCGCCCTTGCCGCTCTCGAGCACTCTCACGAGTGACGGGTCGACCAAGCGCTCCTTCTCACCGTCGTCGTAGTCGATGTCACAGCTCCCGTCGCGATGGACACGTGATATCCGGCCGGGGTAGTACCGGCTGCGACCCTTGTACTTGGCCTCCACCTTCATGCCCTCCTCCAAGCGGTCTCCACTTCCCGTCCGCTCGCCGCCCTTGCCGCTCTCGAGCACTCTCACGAGTGACGGGTCGACCAAGCGCTCCTTCTCACCGTCGTCGTAGTCGATGTCACAGCTCCCGTCGCGATGGACACGTGATATCCGGCCGGGGTAGTACCGGCTGCGACCCTTGTACTTGGCCTCCACCTTCATGCCCTCCTCCAAGCGGTCTCCACTTCCCGTCCGCTCGCCGCCCTTGCCGCTCTCGAGCACTCTCACGAGTGACGGGTCGACCAAGCGCTCCTTCTCACCGTCGTCGTAGTCGATGTCACAGCTCCCGTCGCGATGGACACGTGATATCCGGCCGGGGTAGTACCGGCTGCGACCCTTGTACTTGGCCTCCACCTTCATGCCCTCCTCCAAGCGGTCTCCACTTCCCGTCCGCTCGCCGCCCTTGCCGCTCTCGAGCACTCTCACGAGTGACGGGTCGACCAAGCGCTCCTTCTCACCGTCGTCGTAGTCGATGTCACAGCTCCCGTCGCGATGGACACGTGATATCCGGCCGGGGTAGTACCGGCTGCGACCCTTGTACTTGGCCTCCACCTTCATGCCCTCCTCCAAGCGGTCTCCACTTCCCGTCCGCTCGCCGCCCTTGCCGCTCTCGAGCACTCTCACGAGTGACGGGTCGACCAAGCGCTCCTTCTCACCGTCGTCGTAGTCGATGTCACAGCTCCCGTCGCGATGGACACGCGATATCCGGCCGGGGTAGTATCGGCTGCGACCCTTGTACTTGGCCTCCACCTTCATGCCCTCCTTCAACAGTACCTCAGACGTTTCTCTACCTCTATCCCCACCTCCATGCCCACTGGTTTGTGCCTCCAAGGAGCGGACGTGTTCCGCCGCAATCCCGATTTCCTTCTCACCATCATCGTAAGAGATGTCAAGTGTCTGATCGCTGTTTACTCTGGAAATCTTGCCCTTGTAGAACCTGGTACCCTTCCCACGGTACCTTGCTTCAACTCTATCTCCCTTCTCGAGGACTCTGGTGTCAGCTCCGCTACGGACCTCGTCACGTGTGGTTCCTCCTCTTGCCCGGATCAAATCAGCTGTCACCCCTCTTTCCTTCTCGCCATCGGAGTAGTCAATGTTGAAGCTCCCGTCCAGATTGACTCGGCTAATTCGTCCAGGGTAGAACCTGCCCCGTCCTCGAAAATTAGCCTCCACTTTGTCCCCTTCCAGCAATGTTACAGGCATTTGTCTCCCTGTGCCGCTACCACCGTCACTCATCGCTGGTTCCAAAGATCGAACATGCTCTGTTGCAATCCCAACCTCCTTTTCCCCGTCATCGTACGCAATATCGAACGTCTGATCACTATTGACTCTGGAGATCTTGCCCTTGTAGAACCTGATTCCCTTTCCACGATACCTCGCCTCGACTCTGTCCCCCCGTGCCATCTTGCTCCCGCTGATACCACCACCGTCACTCATCGCTGGTTCCAAAGATCGAACATGCTCTGCCGCAATCCCAACCTCCTTTTCCCCGTCATCATAAGCAATATCGAACGTCTGATCACTATTGACTCTGGAGATCTTGCCCTTGTAGAACCTGATTCCCTTTCCACGATACCTCGCCTCGACTCTGTCCCCCCGTGCCATCTTGCTCCCGCTGATACCACCACCGTCACTCATCGCTGGTTCCAAAGATCGAACATGCTCTGCCGCAATCCCAACCTCCTTTTCCCCGTCATCATAAGCAATATCGAACGTCTGATCACTATTGACTCTGGAGATCTTGCCCTTGTAGAACCTGGTTCCCTTTCCGCGGTACCTCGCCTCAACTCTGTCCCCCCGTGCCATCTTGCTCCCGCTGATACCACCACCGTCACTCATCGCTGGTTCCAAAGATCGAACATGCTCTGCTGCAATCCCAACCTCCTTTTCCCCGTCATTATAAGCAATGTCGAACGTCTGATCACTATTGACTCTGGAGATCTTGCCCTTGTAGAATCTGGTTCCCTTTCCGCGGTACCTCGCCTCGACTCTGTCCCCCCGTGCCATCTTGCTCCCGCTGATACCACCACCGTCACTCATCGCTGGTTCCAAAGATCGAACATGCTCTGCTGCAATCCCAACCTCCTTTTCCCCGTCATTATAAGCAATATCGAACGTCTGATCACTATTGACTCTGGAGATCTTGCCCTTGTAGAATCTGGTTCCCTTTCCGCGGTACCTCGCCTCGACTCTGTCTCCCTTTGCCATCTTGCTCGCCCTCCCGCCCCTGTCACCGACTGTTGGCTCCAAAGATCGAACATGCTCCGCCGCAATCCCAATCTCCTGTTTTCCGTCGTCGTATGCAATATCCATCGTTTTGTCACTGTTTATTCTCGAGATCCTCCCCTTGTAGAACTTGGTGCCGCGGCCTCTGTACCTTGCCTCGACTCTGTCTCCCCGGGCCCAGCCCCCGGCAGACTCATCACCGCTTCTTTGACCACGACCCTCGTTGTTCAACTCATCCGCCCGCGGAGATTGGGACTCAAGGCGGCTGAAAGCAGCAGTCGAACTGCTGCCGTCAGGCCCTGGGCGATATCGTCTACCCTCTTCACCGTGGCGGTCTCTGCTTCTGTGACCGAACGCACTCCCGTCGCTGCTTCCGCGTTCACGGGACGTGTCGCTTTCGCCTGACGCTGCTCTTTCTCCACGTGTCCGCCCGCGTGGTGACCTAATCCAGCAATGCGGACAGCAGTAGAAGCAATGGACACGCGAATGCGTACGCTTGGAAGGGTGGTTTGAAAAATGATGTACAACCTTGACCGACGGCCAGAAGTTCGCGCTCGACACTCTCAGAATAGGACAGGACCCGGATACCGGGAAGTACCAAGCACCCTGTCAGGTTAGCGTTCAAATTACGATGATGGGCCACGAATTGTAGGTTGCGACGAGTAAATTCTACTCTGAACCACGGAAGCCCATCTTGATCAGCCCTCGGCTGTGCGAATCGAATTCATCCGAGGAAATATGGCCGAGGTGATGCGTGGCTAAGCTGATCTCATATGTTAGGGCGAGCCCCACCGTTTGTTTCGTGCCATCTTTCTCGACCAAGTCGAGTTTTCACTCAGTCCGTGCAATTTTCAGCGTTCCCAAAGTAATATCGTCACAGAATTGCAAGCAGGAGCATTATTTTCTGATGTTTCTGATCTTGTTTACATGTACCACCACTCGCCCATGACCACGCTGATTGCTCACAACTACATCATCCAACTCGCAGCATTCCTCAAGTTCCCCACTCACTATCCATTTCAAAATCGAAATAAACGCGGGCGCACCTGCTGGACACTCGATTGCCTCGTTCATGACTCCTGCCTCGCCTCTCACCCACAGTGCGACTGCCACCAACGTTTCCTGCATCGCTGCTGGCTCGGCGGCTCGAGCGCGTAGGGCTGTCGTGGTCCAGACGCTGAGCATGGTTATCGGTGTTGCCATAGCTCCCACCATGCTTGCCCTTATCAAAACGTGCCGTGACTCGAACGATTCCCTGTCGCTTGTCCAGCCGAACCCTGTCAAGCGAGATAAACGACAAAGAGTCTTAGTCTAGCCAGATTGCGATACGCAAGGCTTTCGAGCTTCGAATGAACACACGATGTACCTCATCCCTCCGCGCTACCTTGTCCTACAGGCAATTTCTCGGTCTAGACTATTATCACACCCTAGTAGCAATCCAAAGTTCTATACCGGAAACCACATGCTACGTGTCACCAACCCAACAATCTTCTCGGGGTCTTGATCGTGCCTGGTTGTATCGTTAAATCTCGATACCCCAGACCATTCATCCGTGCCAGCAAGATACAAAAGCAGGGCAAATGCCTGTAAACTCTCCTAGCGTTCGGTGTAGACTTGTATACTAAATATTTTGAAATCGAACAGCCACTTATCCCCCATGCCTCTCACGGTTTTCGGTCGAACCCATATTGGGGGAGCTTGTTCAGGGGCAGGATTGTCTCGCCCAACAGAACCTCGTTTGGAATCTTCCCCTGAAACACCCGGATTTCGAGATCGCCCTCCGTCCCGCTGCTATCGATATCGCTGACAAAACGGATGAATGAACGGAAAAGAGGGGGGAGCAGCAGGTGAGTCTGTGATAGGCACGGACCAATTGTACCATCGGTAGGGTGATATCATCACCACCTGAATATCTACACCTAAAGGCAAGGTCACGTTGTTAGGCGCGTTGTGCCTGGAACGATGAATAGTCGGTTAGTGTCAATGCAGCAGAGAGGCATGGGTGTGTCACGAACATCGGGCACTTTCTCAAGGTTTTAGCAGATATCTATCTGTCCACTCACAAGTCGAAAGATGCATCCTCCCATTGTGGGTTCGACACCTCGCGCACTGAGGCGGATCGCGCCGGTTTGTGCCGCTCTCCCGGGATTCGCAGACCGACTTCGACGAAGGTGGTGTCACTGCCGTTGCTCGCAACCAAGGCCCTGGCCTCCGGGACTGGTGCAGACAAAGAGTGATCGATATGTTTTGCAGCGGTGCGTCACTTGCGATTCGGATGGCAGTCAATGGTTAGGTTGCACAAGCGGCATCGGCGCTGGGTGGCTTGCGTACGGTAAATCTTTGGATGGCTCAAACATTAGGGCAGAGAAACGAATCGCGGAAGGTGCGAAGATAGCGGAAAAAGGGAGATATTTACCTTCCACATGGAGGATGTGCATTGCCCTCCCCTCCAGGGAACCCTCTTCTGCTCTAAGACGGTTATAGGTGTCGTGGTGCACGTGCGCACCGTCCGTGGGCAGAGGAGAACAGGCCGCGCGCATTTGCTTCTTGTTACGCCGTGCGTTTTGATTGGCGGAGGTAGCCGAATGCGGCGTAATTAAGACAGCAAGCCCCGCAGGCGCTCAGGCGGTCTCCGCCGTTGCGTGTTCACGTGCTCACGCAACCCATACAGCGAAGAGGGGAAAGAAGAAAGCTGATGAGGTCAGCTTGCGGGCAAGCTCGGCGTAGACCACGCCGATTGTTTTCTTCGGTTACTGTCGACGCGTCGTTGCATTCAGCGCCAAGCTCTGGGTTGTCTGGGCTGTCTCTGGCTGAGGTGAGAACACCGACCCGCACCGACTCCACAAGCCTGCGGGGCTACGCCCATCACTGGTTGCGTGGTTGGTTGCAGGCAATTGGTAAAGTCGTGGTGAATGGAAGGGTTTCTGCTGTCAGCACTCGGCAACTGCGGCGTTGCTGCTGTGTCTTGAGTGTGACTCGACATCCACAATCGGTTGTTAAACGCTGTCGACGTTTGTGGTACCGGTTAGGTACACGAATCGTTTTCTTTTTTTTTTTGTCTCCCATCATTGGACTCTGTCGTCTGCCCCTCTGGCCCTAATCCTCCACTTCTACTAGCTAGACGACCCAACCGGGGTCACATAAGAGGGGGGGGTTGGACCCCCTCCTGCTGTTCCTGTCTGAGATATTTTTATCGCGAGAAGGGTACAGCAATCCCGTCCCTCGTGACTTATGAAGTCGATCAAGTTTGAAGATTCAACAACGAGCTTTGCAGCGTGTCGCTTCCAACGGAGACCAGGATTTACTTANTTTTTTTTTTGTCTCCCATCATTGGACTCTGTCGTCTGCCCCTCTGGCCCTAATCCTCCACTTCTACTAGCTAGACGACCCAACCGGGGTCACATAAGAGGGGGGGGTTGGACCCCCTCCTGCTGTTCCTGTCTGAGATATTTTTATCGCGAGAAGGGTACAGCAATCCCGTCCCTCGTGACTTATGAAGTCGATCAAGTTTGAAGATTCAACAACGAGCTTTGCAGCGTGTCGCTTCCAACGGAGACCAGGATTTACTTAGCGAGAAAAAACTCTCTGTCGGGACTCGAACCCATGACCTGGCCCTTAGCATACTGCGAGGCTACCCGGTATGTAGCGGGACTGTACGCTGTCGATATGTAGGCTATCCGTACACGAAGTACTTGAAAGTATGCAACTTCGAAGTTTGCATATGCATGCCCTTTACGCTGCTGTTGCTTTCAGTTCAAGTTCCACATCATTTTTCCATAACCTGCTGTGCTGCACCGCGAAAGAGCTACATATACATGTTGCTTTCGGCCGTCCATATACACACAATACTGCTGTGTAGAGGTGTACCAAAGAAAACAATGACCAAACAATGTACCACACCAGTATGTGCACCACCCGACTAATGTAATCGTGATGCTCGTATTCACTCGTAGTAGCCCACCACGCACGGTACACCGAACTATTGCCTAGCCAGCGGACGGTACCGAACCACCACTCCTCGTCCAAGACTTTAATCTCACTCGAAACCCAACTTATTCATTATCCACAGCGGATCTTCTGTAGCTGTGGCCTAAGCATTGCCTGCCGACATCTATGAGGCCGAGCCATATATGGTAGCTTCCGATGTGACTGCTAGGTTGTTTCTGCTGTGTACAAACGACGTGGCATGCCCGCAAGAGCCCTGCCGGAATTCCGTACACCGCGTGGGTGATTCCCACGGGTCGTACCCAGATCACACCCCTCTGATGACCGGCACCCCCTGCACGCACGGTAACAAAAAGGCTTCGAGGAAGGTACAAGAGGGGGATGTGCGGCCTTCCGAGCTGGCGGAGGCTTGCATCAAGCAGATAGAACGGTCGAGCTGGCTGAACTGCTTCGTGACGCGGTGCTTCAATTCCGCGCGGTTGGAAGCCGGAGCGGCAGATGCGCGGCAGGCCAACGGTAAGCTGGCGTTAGTGTGAAACAGCTGCTCTGATGCTACTGAACAGTGTGCAGGCATGGGAAGTGACACGTTTTGTAGTTTTATTCACCGAGGTAGTCATGTTAGTCTTTCTCTCGATTCACTGTGTGGGACGCCAACCCTGTCATACAGCAACCTACCCCCTAAGTTTCCACTTCTGTACTAGGTATGGGGGGGGTAATGAGCCGCGTGGTGCGACTCAATACCTTGCAGTAGTCTTGTCTGCGATGTTGATGGTGCACGAATCCCGACACACACCAGCGTGAATCGTTTGTGGGCAGCTACGCGTGCACCGCAGAGGGACAACAGGCGTGCGACGGGAGCGACGATGATTGTATGTGCGGCCACTGTTCAAAATTTTGTACTTTGCATGCGGTTGTTCCTTTCCGTTTTGATGCACATGCTCGAAGAAACAACATGTGAGAAGTCTTCCTGCTGTCTCTGCGGACGCAAACGCATCTGGGCATCTGGAAGAGGCATGCATGTGGCATACACCTGGCGGCGAGCGTATCACACATGACATCACACCGTCGAGGAGCACGACCAGCAGTGTAGACATAGGATTGTGACACGACAGATGGCGTATATTGCGTCAGGCTCACAGCTTGCCCGCCACATTCGTCTCAAGCCTTCCGAATTTCCCGCCCAAGTGAAAGCGAGCAGTCCAACATGAACCAAAAACAACAAAAACCCGTTGATGATCATGTGACGTCATGGCTTTGATGCGAGAGGCCGAGAGGCCCTGCTGCAGCTTTGCAGCAGCAACAACAGCATGCAGGGCACCGCTTTCTATGCGATGACAGTCAGTAGCGCGGCCCAAGTACGCAATCTGAACCGATCCCGCGGGGAACCATCCTGATAACGCACAGCAGTAGCAGTAGCAGACCCTCACGTCCTCGACGGATTCTCTCGATGATGGCAGGTGTGATCTGGACTTGGGAAGGTGTGTTATTTGTGTGGTCATCGGTCTCCTCTTTTTGAAGCAGTTGGTTGGACCCGCTCAACATCAGNCTGAACCGATCCCGCGGGGAACCATCCTGATAACGCACAGCAGTAGCAGTAGCAGACCCTCACGTCCTCGACGGATTCTCTCGATGATGGCAGGTGTGATCTGGACTTGGGAAGGTGTGTTATTTGTGTGGTCATCGGTCTCCTCTTTTTGAAGCAGTTGGTTGGACCCGCTCAACATCAGTACACACCCGCCAGGTTACACATGGCGCATGCCTACAGTATACCCACGGTTCACAGGTCGTATAGGCCCGGCCCCTCCTGGTTTTCATAGCTGGTCTCAGACCAGCTTCTCAGCGGTGATGCGTTTGTTGGTGATGTTCTTGCGCCTCTGTCGGTGATTGTCCTGGATTGAATCGCGCTGAATCGCGCGCGCGCGCGATCTCCGCTTTTGTGCACGCCTTTTCGCGTAGAAACCCCGGGGTTGGGGAGAAAATTCTCCTACGAATATTGGCTACATATGCCGGTGCAGCGCGACCATCTGCTCTCGGAGCACGACGAAACCGGTGTGGAGAAGAGCGCGCTATTTTTCTTCTTCCTCAGAAGCGAGTACATTGTCAATCGGTGCCCTGTAGAACTCGTTCTGGTCCCAAAGGTGTGCTAAATAGGCTTCTCCGTAGGTTTGGGGCCCCTGTATCGCGTGGCGAAACTTTGGCCGCTATGTAGAGCCTTTTTTCCCTCCTGGGAACGAAGGAAAAAAATGTCGCTTGCTTCGCTCGCTCCGCGGCTCATTATTATATTCACATATGGAATAGTGACACGCAGGCCAAACGACATCCGACCCAAAGCTAGACCGCATGACTCGTTGGCCAGTCCTTTGCAGATCCACCGCATTTCTACCGCCTACAGTATGTGTAAAACCCGCTGCAACTCCCTGCCCCCCTCCATAGGGACTCTCACGGGGCCTCTTGACGGCATCCCGTACGCCGCGAAGGATAACTTCTGTACCCTCGGCGTTCAGACGACGGCATCCTCCGCCGCCCTGGCCGGCTTCACGCCGCCCTACGACTCGACACCGACAGGCCGCCTTCGGCAAGCGGGGTCGATCTTAATGGGCAAGACCAACATGGACGAGTTCGGCATGGGATCGGGGACGCTCTTCAGCGAGTACGGCCGGACGCTAAACCCTTGGTCTCGCGGTGTGTGCCCATGGGTGGAGAATAAGGCCCCTTAGCACTACTCACCTACTGTACGAGGTTGACAAGGGGTTCCACTCGGACTCATTGAAGAGCTATGAGACTTCGTCGGTGGGGGTGGGAGAGGGCGAGACGTGCGCGTGTACAAATGGGCGCGTCGGATTTGACCACAAGCTTTTGCCCGAACCTTCTTTTCGCCCGCATCGTGTGCACAGACCGCCATTAGTTCACCCGAAGCAAGAAATTCTCCAGGAAGGCAAACACACGGGTTTTGTAAAAGTAGAGCAAGCACCGCCCAAGCTCACACGATCGCTTACCGCTCTGCCACAACCAATCAGCAGAAAGCCCGGGCGACGAGGAGAACACCGAGGCGCCTTTTTTTGTGCCGGGCGGGAGTTCTGGAGGAAGCGCCGCGGCGGTATCGTCGGGGTGCAGCTTCGCGGCGTTAGGGTCGGACACCGGGGGGTCTGTGCGACAGCCCGCGGCGTTCTGTGGCGTGGTCGGACTGAAGCCGACGTACGGCCTGATTCCGCGTCATGGGCTAATCGCGTACGCAAGTTCACTGGTACGCATTGATGAGTAGCAGTATGGTCTTCGTGATGTGACCGACGCCAGGGCGTTGAGGTGTTTTTTCTAGGGGACCGAGGGGGGGGGGCGTACCCTTATGTTTTGCATGCCTTAGCGNCTCTTATGCATGCCTTAGCGGTTAGACCATTGACCACGCGTCCTCGAGAGGACGGAGCATTGTTCCCACAGGACCGATCACCGATCTCCAATCGTTCCTTTCTACTTTGCCAAAGGTGGCTCAAAAATGTCTTCCTAGAAGCTATCTATCCTAACGACATCCCTTCCCGCCTTTTCAACCCACCTTCTATGCCCCAGTACAGCTACCGTCCTTTCCTCTCTATTCCATGCC